CCTGAGAGTTTTACCTGGTGTCATAGGAGCAATCTCATCCTGCACACAGGGCAACCCAGATGTGCTGGAAATGCTTGTGAGCAAATTTAACAATGAAAATTAGCAGTCATGGCTGGATTTACAGTCGCTCATGCCTGTAATCCCAATACTTTGAGATGCCAAGGTGGGTGGATCACTTGAGGCCAGGAGCTCGAGACCAGCCTAGCCAACATGGTGAAACCCCTTCTCTACTAAAAATACAACAATTAGCCTGGCGTGGTGGCTTGCACCTGTCATCCCAGCTACTTGGGAGACTGAGGCATGAGAATCGCTTGAACTCAGGAGGCAGAGGTTGCAGTGAGCCAAGATTGTGCCACTGCACTCCAGGCTGGGTGACAGAGAGAGACTCTGTCTCATAAAAAAACAAAAACAAAAACAACCCAGCAGCCATTGGATAAATAATTCAGCCTCCCTGTTTTCAAGCAGAACTATTTTGAGGTACGTTCTACAGAGCTCTTCAGAGGTCCCCAGGAACCCACAGAAGTGATCTGATTATAAACACACATATTTGATTCTTTTTTCTCTTAAACTACCCTACTCTCCTCATCCCTTCCTTTGTGCGTCCTGGGATCACCTCCCGTATAGATCACCTACTACCAAGTCCCTGTTCAGGGATCCAAATTAAAGCAGCATACCATTAAAAAACAGGAAGTGTTCTGACTGATGATTATAATTTATTTCAGCATATTAATGGTTCTGTAATTTGTATGGTAATAACAAACAAAAAGCAAAAATGAAAACCCTTAAACCATGTTTACCTCTGTATTTCCCAAATGTATTTACATAGTGGTTAACAGAATGGACTTTGTAATTAAACCAACCTGGCTTCAAATTATAATTGCATTATTTATTTTGAAAGTCAGTAACCTCTCCAAGGTTCAGTATCCCTAACTCTAAAATGGGGATAATAATATATCTACAAAAAGATTGCATAAAAAAAATGGTTGAGTGTGGTGGTGTGCACCTATAGTCTCAGCTACTCTGGACACTGAGGTGGGAGGACCACCTGAGCCTGGGAAGTTGAAGCTGCAGTGAACCTGAACACTGCACTCCAGCCTGGGTGACAGAGTGAGGTCTTGTCTCAAAAAAAAAAAGAAAAAAATATATATATGTATATATATACACACACACTCACATACACACATATATATTAATCTGGAACATGGTTTCTTTTGGAATTATTTATATGCATTTCTCTAGGGAAAATTGAATCTCATCTTCCACAGAAAATACTAGATTATAATTCTAGTGGTGGCTTTTTTTTTTTTTACAGAAATCTTAAAGACATTTGTAGGATTCCAAAGGAAAAGAGGGTTCTTATCAGTTAACTCCTGCAAATAAGAACCTAAGTTAAAAGTCTCAGCTTGGCAATGAATATAAGCTCAAAAACTTCTTTGAAGATAATTAGTTTGCCTGTTTTTGAAACTTCTTCATTCTGAGCAAATGGTTTTCCAGGATAATGTATCTGTGTTTTAGAATGTCGAAGTTGTTTATACTTTGTCTGCCAGTCCTAACTCATGCTGTGATGACTCACTCATCCCCAGGTGGAGAGGAGAGATTGGGCTGATTGGGTTGCTCTGTTACCAAAGTAAACACTAGGGCCCAAGTAGAGCCTTTTTCATTGATCACCTGCTAGCGGATGGACTATGCAAATGGGCTCCCTCGGTAAGAACATGTAATACTGCCTTTATTCTCAAATGCATCCCTTGGATTACAGAACTACATATTCTGAACATTCTTCTAACATCTCCTTAGAACAAAAAAACTGTCGGGCGAAAGAACCTGAACAACCAGGCATGTCTGATATATGAGCTCCTTAGTACCAAACAAACTGAACTGGGATGACTCAGACAGTGGTTTAGAAGCAGTTTCTCTTCTTGAGGTGACTTTCCTTTAACAGTTCAGTTTTGCTATAGTCCAAGGATAGCACCACTCTACCCAAGAGTGGAAGAGACAATTCACTCAGAGATTCCCAGAGAGCCCCTCTAGGGCAATTAGGCTAATAATTAGCCAGTTGTAACTAGAAGCTTATTGTTAGTCTTTGCAATCAGGAAGCATGGAGGTTACATTCTGAACTGAGACACTTCAACATAGTATTTTTTAAAAAAAAAATACATGAAATCAGTGATGTAAATGCCAGTGTCCTTTGTGTCCTTCATTTCTCACGGTCTTCTACATCTGCACAGAAGTCAGTTTTTCTTTAGTGTTTTTTTTCTTCCTTGAGAAAGGATTAAGCATTGATAGGTGTTGCTTGACTTTAGAAATTGGGTGGGGTGACATTGGGGAATGCAAATTATCACTGAACATTTCAACTCGAGTATCTACTGACTATCCAGTATAGAAAGGATAGAGTAGGGAAACAGATGGTATGCACATGGGATTCCTTTCAAAGTCTCACTTGGGAATTTACTTTTAGTTATGAAATTCAGAGTTTATGTTTCAAATCTAAGTATTGCCTCTTGAAAGTAACTTAATTAAAAGCAGTCAATTATAGCAGGTTAATTACCTTGAGTCTTTGCCCTGGAAAAACTGGCTGGGCAACCCATTGTACAACTATTATGATTATATGATGACTCATTATCACGAAGAAAATCTTGTGCCATTTAAATCAGCAGGATTCCATTTCTTCACCAGAGAACTATCTCTAAATACACGCGAACGCTCACATACTTCTGAGTTTCCCTTTGTTTATTTTTGCAGCTAACAAGAGTGTTTTTCAGGTTAACAACGAAGCACAGGATAGTACACGTGGAAGATCATTAGCATGACTGGATAGGAACATCTTTTAATTTCCCTTTCTTGGCGTTTTCCACACCCGAGGTGGATTGTACTCAGCACTGCCACACCTAGAAAATACACCCAGATACCAGAATTGCACAATTCAGGAAGAATGCACCGCACACCGTATCCAGGCAAGCCAAGCTCACCCAAGGATGGTCTCAGAAAGAAAAGGCTCTGACCATCGACAGATGGGGCTACAAGCCCAGCCTGTCTGCAGGGATTTTTAAACCTGAAAGCACACTAAAGATAAAAGATAAAGCAATCTTTGACCCCCAAAGACTTATTTTTAAAACTCAACTGTAAATAACTGCTGCAGGAAGAATGAGGAAGAGGGAATTTAAAAGAGGAAGTTAGGACTGAATCCATTCATCTCAACTTCCCTAAGCAATCCACTTACTGATTAGTGCTTCCAACTCAAGGAATATTTTAAATTTTTTTAATTAGAAAGCCTTCTATCAATGAAAGAACCTGGAAGGAAAGGGGATCATTTATAATGATTTTACAGGCGAGGATATTGCGACCAGCAGGGAGATGACATGCCCAAGCTTGCACAGATAGCAAAGACCAAAGTTGGGATGAGACTCAAATATGCCCTTACAGATGTGCTTAGAGAAACAAGTCAGTGTTCACATTTACTATATTAATAGGCATGTCTTTCAGTGGGAGTTTGTAGTAAAAAAAAAAAAAAACTAAATTAAATTATGATGACTATATTTTCCATTGTTTTCATTTCCTTAAAAAAGGAAAGCCTATTGAACTTGTTAGTTCTGCAGTCTATGGTTTTAAAGCTAAGTTATTACACCTGACAGCTACCTTGTGTGAACACTGAAAGACCTTGACATATTCCTTCTTTGTTATAGTCAGCAGTAAGTGGCACTTAGCATGTCTGGCTACTTACAGAGTGAAATAATTGCTTAGGAACCCTAGAACTGCTTATTTAAAGGGTGGGGACCCAATATAATTACTGAACCAAAAAGCATCTCAGCTTTACCATGGGAAATCTCATGCAATGCATTGTTAGTCTTCAGGTGGTTTCTCAGCCCAATTCTTCATTACTTTCCAGAATGCTCTGGAACTTCTCTTCTGTTAATGACATAAAGGTATCTGTCTTGGTGAATTTGAACCTATAAGGAATGGAGAATCTCCATACTAGAGCAAGGCTGAAGGAGGTAGAACATTTCAGCAAAAGTAACAGACTTAGTTTATCTTTGTCGTAAATTTTTTAGGTTGACATGCTTCTATTATATCAGGCCCATTGGTCCCAGGAGGTTGCATTTTTTCCTAAATGTGCACCCTTAAGGTATTGTGTCATTGAGGAGGGGAAGAAGAAAGTCGGATGGGAAATAATACAAAGACAAGTGCACGTGTCAGAGAAGTTTATAAACTGAGTCATTTTCATGTGTAACAGGAGACCACATTTCTTAATCTCTAGATACCCATTATCTTCTTGAATGAGTTGTGCTATGATTTTAAAAGGTGGAATTTTTAACATTTTTAATTACCACTTCAAATCCTCCACCAGTCGTGGCATAGTTGTGTGGGTTTTTGTTGTCAATTTTGGTATAATCACCCAGATTGTCTATATTTATGAAAAACATTCACCTCGCATTTTGAAAAGCATAGAAAAATTCACTGTCAAGGACTAGCTGGCCAACGGTAGCCCTAGGGAGAATTATTTCCATTCTCTCACCTAGCCACTCTGTACCCATCCTCATACTGACATACACCATAGTGAAAGTAACCTATGACCTATGATGAAAAAAAAAAAATGATAAAATGGGAAGGTGGGCAAGAAGAAAAGAGACTGCTACCCCACTACCTGAATGGAAGGGGACCCCATCACAAGAAGGAGGCTTCAGCGAAACTGCCCAAATGGCCCCCGGGTGTCTGAACCTACCAGAAGTCTCTTAGTCCATTTTCCTGTGGTTAGTAGCACTGTAGAGATATTGTTTAATGTGTGCATAGGGTATTGTTTATTGAGGAAAAAGTTCAGGAAGTAGGCTATTAGAATTCATTAACCTCTACTCAAAAATTGGGTTTGGACACCTAAAATGAGCAAGGCCCTTAAAACTGAAAAACAAACAAAAACCCACTTTTTGTTATATCCCATGTTCTTGTTACCCATTTTTTAAAAAATTCCCTTCCCCAGATTTGAAAAAAAGAAAAACTACAAACTGGAAACAAGTTTAGAATACCTGGTTTATTGGGAAAACTTCGTAATGCAAACTACAATTGGCTTTTTCCACAACTTACAAAATAATAATGTGATATTTAAAAGGAATTGGTTTTCATTATGTAAGTAGAAATGGTAAAAAATTGTAACAACACATCTGATGCCTCATGCATACGCTATTCAGAGAAACTCAAATCCCCAAATTCTCGTGTGGCATGTTTTACATCAAATATTGTAAAAATGTTTACCAAGAAAGACCAGGATCTTAACTATATGTAGGTTTCTGCTTAACAGTTGCAAACTATCAGAAGCCTGTGTATATGACAGAGCCCAGATAAACCTGAGATTTAGAAAAGTGAGCCATTTATTCTCCTGAGACTGTTTTAGTGGCACTTTTGTGACAGCCATGGCCCTCCTAATGCTTTACTATACAACCTAACCAGATCTATCAGTCATGATAAATTAGACCTAGTCCATCTTTCAATCCAGTCTCCTCTGGTTCTGAACATATAAACACAAAACACTACAGATTTCTTAACATAGCCTTTTCCCATACCCTAACCCTATAAAGAACTTTAAAAGACACAATTTCATCTAAATATTTCACACTTAAAAGAAAGCCTTATTAACTACAGCAATAGGTTTGGACCACAAAACAATACTTTCCTAGATGACATATCGAGTCAACATGAAGCTTAGCAAAAATGAATTATTCAAGATATCAATGAGAAATTCTCACAACCGATATGCATTTAGGAAACTCTTTTGCTTTCCTTTAATAGTTTGAAGGCTTGAAAAAAACCTTTCTTTTTTTTTTTTTAACATTTCTTTTAGACTGTTGAGTCATTGATAATTTTTAGCATTATCTTCCTCTTCTCCTTAGACCTTAGCAGACCCAATCCATTCTATCTGAAAATAACAAGAACTTGATCAGATTATTAAATCTTGGAAACCTCATTTTTACCTTATGAAGTGTTAACGTTCATGTTCATATTCTCTTACAAATATAGTATAAATGTTATGGATAGATAAAAGGAAATATTGTGAAATTAGTTAAATATTGTGTAATTAGTGAAAAGATACAACTTCACAAAACGTAATAAAAGATGAACATGAAACAATAACACTACTTAAAAAATATTTTCTCCCAAATTATTTTAGCATTTTTGACTGGTTTACTAATAAAAACACCGCAAAAAAAAAAAAAAAAAATGGGTTCAAAGTCCCGTGGAGAAATAGTTTCCTCTCTGGAGTCCATCTCAGCAGCAGTGATTTTCTCCAGTTAGGCAGAGGTGTAGAAGTACCTAGGCTTGGCATTGCCCAGGAGGTCATCTTCGTAGTTTGGGAGGCAGCAGAAGAAGAAGGCACAGCCGATCAGGATAATCGTGGCTGCCCACCCAAAGCCGTAGGCCCAGTTGTAGATGTAAGTGACAGCGGGGTTGGCGTGAAGGTTGAAGGTCTGGGTGTACTTCACGGGGTAAATTACCAGAGAGATGATCTGGAACACAGCTAAAGGGAAGAAAAAAATCCCAAGCTATGAATACATACCTACATGAAGGAATGAATACACAGTAATGACAGATTAACTCCTTCCACCAAGTGTCTGCCTTAAAATAAGTATAAAATCTACCTGGAGGCAGAAGGAATCTAGGTAAGCACAGGCCAAAAAAGATTCTTGACTACTGTGGGTAAGAGATGCCTGGCACTGAGCAATATCACACACACATGCGAAATAGGTGAAAAACCCACAGAAGATAATTGGAGAACCATTCTATATTACATAAGCATTATATATACTAAAGCAAAACTGTGGCATACAATAGAAAGCAGGACAGTAAAGAACAAACTCTTTCATCTTTGTGTTTCCTATAACAAACACATACTTAATATGTTCAATGTTAGCAAAAATTACATATATTTATATATATACACACACACAGGCGTGCACACGACTCGATATTCAGTAACACATCACTGGAATATTCATTCAGTAAGTAAATGAAACAATGAACTAATATTGAGAATGGTGAAGGGAGAATCCCCAGAAAAGCCTGCAGAGGACGTGGGAATCTGAAGAGGAAACAGACGTGGAGGGCGGGCAGGGGGAAGGGCTGAGGAGGTACGGTGGGGACAGAAGTCAAAGCAGCAAGTGATCACAGTGCTTAGGGAGGCGTGTGTGAGGGCGTGGAAAGCAAAACGTGAAGATTTCTAAACTCCGGTATAACAATCACATTAGTGCAGTCATTATTCATCTTTCTAATAGTATTTAAGCAATTTCAAAAAAAAATGAACATTATTGAGTCTACCTTCGTGGTTTCTTCCAGTGGACATGCATAATTTTATAAAGCTACAATGAATATACGCGTGTGTGTTCCACACCATTTTAACTTAATATTTATATGTGCATTGCCATGTCAAAGGGTCTGAACAGATTTTAGCTTTTTAACCATAAGACACTACCCTCCACGAGGAGGGACCAAGTGGCTGTGGCCTCCAGGAAGGCATCAGGGAATCTGATGGTAGTCCTCACCACCATTTTTTCTGCCATCTAAATTCTTTTCTACAGCTCCACAGATGTACCCTGAAGTCATTTTCTTTTTCTTTTTTACTGCTAGAAAGGCTATAGATGTTTCCATATCTTCATTTGCTGCTTGTAATTCATAACTAAAACACTCCTCTTCTCTTGCAATTTGCAAAGGACAATGTTAGGGCAAATCTTAAATACTTATCTACTTCTGGTATGCTTTAAATAGCAAACTCTTACTACTTAAGTTTGTCATTTGCCACCACATACTGTGTAAGGCACAAAAGCAATGCTTCTCTACGTTGACTTCTGATTTTCTTAGTAATAAATATTAAATGTTGCTGTTTATCCATTCTGGCTCATCATGTATGAAGTCTTTATAATAGTTTGGATGAATTTCTGCAAAATTTAAATTGTATCAGTATTCAATTTTTCTGATGTTTAATATAAGAATATACAAAAATTTAAAATAACTGTTTCTATGAAACATATCTTAAAAGTCAAATAGGCCTTATTCTACATTACCACTAAAAATGTGTTGAGATTTCTAAACTTTTTATTCTTCTAAATACATTTTCTATTCTATTTTTCATACTTGCTAAGGGAAAGAATGAGCATTGAATTACAAAATGAAAACACTAAGTTAAGCTGTTAAGCTGTAAATCTGTTGAAGTTCACTGAACCAATTTTCTTTACAACAATAACCCTGCCACCGTGTCACTGTGGGTGGCCATTGCTAGATCTTTTTGTTTTAATGCTATGTGACAGCAACGAATGACAGAGTTTTACTGGGATATTTTTTTATTCTGGTAAAATATACATAAAATGTATCATGTTCACTTTTAATTGTTCACTCTAAGTGTACAATTCAGTGGCATTAAATAAAGTCACAATATTGTGTAACCATTACTGCTGTCTACAACCAAAGCTTTTTCATCCATACATAAACTCAGTATCTCTTAAAAAATAACTCCCCATTCTTCCCTCCCCGCAGCCCCTGGTAACTTTTATTCTACTCCCTGTCTCTGTAAATTTGCCTATTCCAGGTAGCTCATGTAAATGAAATAATATATTTGTCCTTCTATTCCAGGCTTATTTCACTTAGCATAAGGTTTTCAAGGTCCATCATGTTGTAGCGTATGCCAAAATTTCATTCCTTTTTGTGGCTGAATAATATTCCACTGTAGGTATATATACATTTTGTTTGTCCATCCATCTGTACATGGACACTTTGGTTTTTCCACCTTTTGGATGTAGTGAATAGTGTTGCTGGAAACATGGGTTACAAGTATCTTCAAGTTCGTGTTTTTAATTCTTTTGAATATATATCTAGGAATGGAATGCTGGGTCATATAGTATTTACTAGGATTTTTCAACTAACATTAATGTCCTAGTGTGTCATTTCTTTTTCTTTTTCTTTTTTTTTTCTTTTTTTTTTTTTTT